TGAAACTGCACCCTGCCGGGAGTGGGTGGCCTGGTGGGGCTCTCAGTGGCGCGGGAGCCCCCAGGAAATGCCAGGCCAGTTACCACCCCAGTGGAAGGCGGGTCGGGGCGCCTTAACCCCTAGCTCCCACCGCCGGGTGGGTGACCCTGAGTGTTTGGAGGGGCCCAGAGGGCGGACCCCGAGAGTGTGATGGTGTATAGGGCATGGTGCTGTGGTTGCCCCTTTGGAGAAAGGGAGTAGTGGCACGGTGAGGCCTGAGGAGACAGAGTGAGGGGCTAGAGACCAGCCCGGAGTAGAGAGTACCCTCGACTGGCCCAAACTGGGGCCAGGACTTGGAGAGTCAAAAGGGCCAGGGGCCCACCGCGAGGGACGCCCAAGAGCCGGGGGCCTGGGGTCCCGACTGGCCTGGAGGTGGGCCAGGGCAAGTGGCTGAAGGTCCCGGAGGGACCACATCTGAGAGGGGAACATGGCTTCAGGGGGACTAGGTAGCCCGGATGACGGCGGAGTGGCCGCCTGATAGGAGAGGATCATAGAGGGGTCCTGTATGGATGATTCTGGGGCCCAGTGTGGGGCCGGTGACTATGTGAACACCATGATGCCATCTGCGAGGCTTGGGCTGCGGTATTGGGGAGGTAGGAGCTACAGAGAGCGCCCCCTGGCATCGGGGCACTAAATGGGCAGCCTCCCGCTTAATTGACATCTGATTGAATCAATTATCATCAAAGGCGTGGCGGGTGACATAGGCGGGTGGTTGCCCAGAGACAGATGGGCGGGCCGCGGAGCACGGCCCCGAGGAGGCCCCCTGTCACAGGCCATAATGCTTTGAAAAATAACTGTTTAGGAGAATTAGAAGAGTTGAGGCCATATCCTGTGGAGGTATTTGTGTTAGTCAAATGTGGGAGTCTGGATTTGAAAAACCTTCTTGGCCTTATCTGACAGTAAACTAGTTTCATTGGGCAGGGATTGCAAGAAGGTCTGTTTTATAACATCAATTTTTATGATTGAAGTCTTGTTCTGAAACACAGCTTACCTGCCTGAAAACCATTTCTAAGATCCTAACTCCACCTGAATGCAAATTGTTGCCAGATAAACATGACAAGTATTGATAGAATTGGAAAGTGAATGAAAGGAGGAAAAAAAAGGCCCATCAAAACTGTTGACTGTATGTGTGTGTGCAGTGTAATGCAATACATTCAAATCCATTGCCATGTATATATGGATAATAGATTTGGCCAAAACTTCTATAGCAAGCTTGAATATGTATGTGTATATAATATCCAAATCTACTAGCCATGAATATATGGCTAGTGGATTTAACCAAAACTTCTATAGCAAACTTGTAACAAAGCTTTATATCAGGGTATCGATGAAGAGCTATATTTCATCACATCTGGTCTGAAATGTGCAATTTTCAAGCACACTAGTCAGCTGCATGGTATATACAATTTTGATTTTTAAGGAATGTTTGTTTTGATTTGGCTGTAGCTCTGCCTTTTGAAATCTCAGTGGACCTAGTCATTTTTTTTTTAGACTGAATTACACCCTGATTCTCCCATTGGATCTGGACAGATAGACGCATGTGAATAGTCCCTTTGAGCACAATTGTTTCTTTCACTGCGGGGGGGGGCGGCATTGCAGCATTAATTTGAGGTGTTTATCAGCAATAGTGCTCATAAATCATTGGTGTTCTGTGCTAGCCCAAGGATCTGTCCACATTGATTGTAAGGTTAGGATATAACCTTACAATCATAATTCTCTGTTAATTCTTGATTTCAGTGTATTTGTTTTGTTTTAAAGCACAGATACCATAATGCTTACATATAAACGTGCATTAATATTTCCACCTACACTTACATCTCTTACTTCAAAAAAAGACTGAAATCTGTTAGTTCATTTGTTTAGTTAAATAGTTTGATTTCTGTGTTGAGATACTTAACCAAAAATATTTTAAACTAGGTATTTTCTTATTTTAAGTCTTTCCAGTGAGTGGGTGCACTTGGATTCAGTAGGAATATAATTAATTAAGTGATGAGCTCTCTTGAAAAATCTTACTCATAAATATTTATAAAATAGTAGAAGTCTAAAATGTTGTGTAGGCAAACATATACAACCGTAGTTTGCAAAAGGAAGGATGGATTGGGAGCTGAGATCATACAGTTCAGGAAGGGTAAATCTTGCCTGCCTAATTTAATTGGTGGGAGCAGATGGCCATGTTTAAAACTTGGTACTGCTGAAACAATAGATTAATTGACACTGAAGCTGTTGTATCTAATGATCTACATTTTTAATGTTACCAAACTATTGCTGCTTCCTGTGGAAAGTCTTGAGAAACTAAATAAAGGATTCTGGAATCTCAGTTAAAATAGGTGTACCATATTTCCAGTTCCAAAAAAGAGGACACCTGTTGGGGGGACACCTCGCTCTCAGCCTGCAGCCCTCCTATCCCTGCTGCTGCCCTTCACTCCCAACCTACAGACCTCTGGCCCTGCAGGTGCCCGTTACTCCCAATCCATAGTCCCTCGCCCCCCTGGCCTATGCTGGTTCACCTCAGCCCCAACCTGCAGCCCCCATGCCTGCTGTTGCCTCTCACTCCCAACCTGCAGGCCTCTGACCCTGCCAATGTCCCTTACTCCTGACCCACAGTCTCCCCCACCTCCCCCCCCGGGCCATGTTGGTGCCCCTCACTCTTGACCTGCAGCCCCTTGGTACGTACTGCCAGTGCCTCACGTTCTTGACCTGCAGCCCCCTGCTCCCCCACTCTTGCCAGAGGGGACCCCAGCTGCCCCTGTTCCAACTGGGCCAGAATGCAGTGGCTCCAATTCATGTGGGTGGTGGTGGAGCAAGTCTGGCCCCAGTGCAGGGAGGAAGGAAGAGGAGAGGATGCCTGTGGCACCCCCCACCCTGCTCTGGGGCTCCTGTGCCATGACAGGTGGCCTGATCAAACTCCCAACCCCTGGGGCAGCATTTTTGGTGCCCACCCAGTCTCTGTGAGCATGGGCACTGACCCTGGTGCCACCGACTCAGCCCTACAGCTCCCCACTGCCCTCAAAGGGTCCTCGCTATTTCCCCTGCTGGAGGGGCAGGTACCTCCCACCTGCCCAGCTGCAGCCTCAGTGCCTGCACAGCTTCCCTCAGTGCTGGCAGGCACCTGCCCCACCTCACACACCCATCCCCTACACGCGCACACACACATACACCCCCGACAGTCCCCAAACCCTGGCCCTCCCACTCCACTTGCCATAGACTTACTTACATCCAGCTGCTGAGGCTGCTCCCACTACCCTGCCTGGCTGCATGCTGGCCACATGTATGTGCACATGCACTCACATGTGATGCCCCCTGCCTCCAACTGCCCTCCCCCTACTTCCGGACATTTGTTCAGATTTCAAAAAACCACCCAGATGGAAATTGGAGGACACAAAAAAAATAAAAAGGACACGTCTGGGAAAACCCAGACATATGGTAATCAGGGTTTGAATTACGGGGGGAGCTTGGGGGACTGAATCCCTCCATAAAGACAAGAGCCCCTGAGAAGCATAACAGTTATTATACTGCTTGAGTCCCAAAGTTCATTTAGTCCAAAATCCTGTCTCCAACAGTGGCCAGTAGAAATAGCAGGGATGGGCAAAACATGGCCTCCAGGGCAGATTCAGCCAGCTAATTGATTGCATCCCCTGTGGAGCCAGCTAATTGATTGCATGGCTGCCCCTGTGATACTCCACATGGAGCCGAGACCTGCTTGCTACCGCCTGGGGCAGCCTGTGCTGTACTCCCGCCCACCCTGACCCTAGCCTCGGCTCTGGCTAGTGCACGCAGCTTCCCAGTGGCTGTCTGTCTACTGCTTGATTACCTCACAGCTGTCACTGCTTCCCCACGTTATCTGCTGCTGGAGCAGCGTAGCAGGGACAGGAGTAAGAGGAGGAGCCCCTGAAGCTGGGGGGAGCCAAGCAGTACCCAGCTGGCCACTGGGAAACTGCACACTGGCCACGGTGGGTGCAGGTGCAGGTGGGAGTGGGAAGGGCTCAACCCCATATAGAGTGCCATGGACCAGATGGAGGTGCGGGCTGCATCTGCACCTGCATGACACTGTCTGGGTGAGCTCTGCTATACATGCCCCCTGTCACTCCTCCCTCCATGCATCCCCAAATGGCTTCCTGGGCCTAGTGTGCGTGCAGCCCATGTCCACCCCCTCCCCCCCCCACACACACACACTGCCTCCCATCCTCCCCCACACACAATATACAAGAGTAAGGTTTTATTTTGAGCTATTACGCAATTGTCTCTATCTACACTACTGAGAAAAAGCCAAATCAGGACAATAATTTATTTTTTGAAATAAAATATGTTATAGTAGATGTTTGATTTTAGTATATGTTTTTATGTATAATTTGTTAAAATAATATCTTCTGAAAGATTTTATGTGAGAGGCCCTCGACAGCTCACCAGAACTTGAGTGGCCTGTCAGCCGAAATAGTTGCCCACCCCTGATAAATAGTATAAGAAGCCAGGCATAGGCAGCTGTGGGGTAAGTGACCTTCCAAGTGAGGTCTCCTTCTGCTGTAATTAGAGACTCTTCTCAGTACTGAGGCAGAAAGCTAAGTGTTAGTAGTGGCCTTCAAAAATCACACATCAAGGCTCAAAAACTCATGTAATATAATAATGAGTCTTGGTTCTATTTATTTGCCTTCTGGTTTGGGGTGGGGGGGGTTGTGTTTTTTGTTGTTGGGTTTTTTTTTGTTGTTTTTTTTTGTTTTTTTTGTTTTTTTTGAGGGTACATGTTTTCAAACTCTGTTCACAAGTAATGTGGACTAGAAATATATTTTATTATAGGTAATTGTTCAGTAGCAACTGTTTTTAGTCACTATTTTTAGCTACATTTTAAAGAAAAAAAACTGGTTATTAAAGGAGTCGCAGCTTAATTTTAGAGATTGGAAATGCTAACATTTCTGTGTTGAATGCTGCATCCTAGAGACTTTCTGTAAATAAAATATGAGCTTTGTGGAATCTTAAGCATCTCTGGTTTTCACTGAAGCTGGTAGGCTTCAGGTGCATTTGGCATTTAGTATGTTAGTTTTTTTAACTGCATGGTAGATTTGCTAGCAATAAGGAACGATTTGTAGTGATGAAGGTATTTGCATTAAAATCTCTTTATTATTTGGAAATGTGGTTGAATACGTTTTTATACCACCCTCCCTCCCTGCCCCCCTATCCCCTTCCTTCCTTTCAAAATATTTCCACTTTAGCTTTACAATTCTACTTTTAAGTCTCATCTCTGGGGTTACTTGAAAGTGGTCTTACTTTATTGTAGCTGAAATGATTTCACTGCCTCTTACCCACTAACATGCCAGTGCCTATGTCCAATAAATTAAAGCACAATGCTGTGGTATTCTGGCTTGATTCTTAATAAAATATTTTCTTTTGAAGGACCTGCCTAAATCACCATGATGCGAAAATTATTGCCTACTGCTGTATGGTCCTGTTCACTTGCCTTAATTCAGAGAAAGTGAGAGAACTACTGGAACAAAAGAACTTGAATGTAGCCCTGGCTGTACTGAAAGTCTACAGGAAGCAGTTGGAGTCTGAATGGTCGTATGTATCTTTTTAATGAATAGTTGTGTGTATCTCGCATTGCAAATTTGATTCACAAACTTCAGAATTGGATGTACCAGAAAATGATAAAGTAACTCAACATAATTTAAGTCTTTTTTCACTTAGAATAAACAATATTATCTGTAACCTTTTAATTGCTTCCACAGCTTTGTTGTAAATATTAGGGCTATGTGAAGCTTTGGATGCTGTTTCAGTTTGGAGGAGATTCGGAGGGGGAGGGGTAGGCAAACTGAAGGAGGAGTGGGGAGGGGTCATGGGGGACCCCTGCTAGGCCCCATCCCCTACTTGCTCTCCCAGTCCCCTTGAGTGCCTCCCAGCCCCCACCCACTCTCCCAGCCAAGTCGATGTCTGTCCTGCTCAGCCCCAGCATCCCGGCTCTTTGAAGAAAAAAAAAAAACCCCACATTCACTGGCTGCTGCCTAGCGGGGGTGTGTGTGTGTGTGTGTGTGTGTGTGTGTGTGTGT